GTAATTGTGGGAGTGAAAGAAAGATCAGAAGATTTATTCCCAGCTGTAGAATATATATAGAACAGTATTAGACTCTTTGTCAATATTCATATTTTGCTTTATAAATAACTTTATTAAATCTATGCTTTATAATAAATTTTACCAAGCAGGCTTTCAGTTCAATTACAGCAACTGCTTTTCAGCAAGCTAGATGAAGAAAGCATTCACTTAGGAAAGTAAGTGTTCCAGATATTCTTTGTCCATTCTTCCACCTGAGTGAACTCCTTGCAGTTTAATAACTGCAGTATAATATAATGAAACTATCAACTGCTGTATAAGAGTATAAAAGGTTAATTTATTAAGGTTAATGCCTTCATTCCAGCACCACTGCTGTATCTGGAACTACATTTTCAAATGTGCTCACATTTCAGTGTGCCAGGTTCTCCCAGTTACTGAGGGATCTCAGACTCCCGGCACCAGAGGACTGCCCCAACAGGGATTTCACCAGGCACTGTTTGGAAGCAAGATGTGGGAAGATGCAGTTGTTTCCCAAAGTCACCGTAGGCTTCCTTAGTCCAGGTTTCATCACTTCCTCTGATGAGAGCCCCTCAGGGCTTCAGGGTTGCACAGGTGCCTGCCTTGGCCTCTTGCTGGGTGGGGGAGAACCCTGGGGGCTGGGGGCTCTTCTCTTTTGAGCACATCAAGACCCCCTGTGAGACTGGTCCCAGCCCTGTACCTGGCTGCAGATACTGCCCATGGCAGATGGACCTGCCAACACTGCCTGCTCTGGCTCCTCCTGGGGCTGGTCCCCCTCTGTGGGAATGGGCACAGGTAGGCAGTGCCTGCGACCCCCTTGGAGGGCAGCCCCTGATGTTTCTGCTTCCTCCTTCACATTTGATCCTGCTGGGATGCTGGCAGAAATCCTCTCCCGGGAGCTGCTGGACCTGGAGCTGGAGCTGGAGCTGGTGCTAGCCACAAGGCTGTTAGTCTCCTCCCTGCCAGTGTGGAAAAGCAGCAGCCTCTGGGCCTCCTCACTGCACTTGGCCACAATGACAGTGATGAGGCAATGGACCAGTGGTGCTGTGCACTCCCCAAGACAGTTCTGCAGTGTCTGGACCAAGTTCTCCACATTCAGACCACGGAGGCAGAGATGATACAGGATGCTGCCCTGTGCAACTTGTGCCAGCCACCACTGGTCCTGGAATATTGCCTCCAGCCTCTCACACAGCCAGGGCCGCACAGCATCCAGGAGGTGCTGTCTTTGTTGGAACAGTTTTGCCCACACCTCAGGCAGGAGGCCACCCACAGGCTCCTGCCCTGCAGCCTTCTGCTCAGCTGCGGACAGCATTCCCTTTGGAGAAGCTGCAAGGGACACCAGCGGGCTGTTTTCATCCAGGAGGATGGGAGCTGCCTCTGTGTGGCTGCTGGTCTCTTCAGGGGAGATGGCAGCAAACAGCAGATAGTCCTGTTCACCCCACTCAGAAAACCTGACAGTCTCTATTAGTGTCCTGCAGAGTGGGCAGGATGGATTTGTCTGTGTCCACCACAGGATGGAGCCCAGGCAGAACTGGCGGTGATAGAGCAGACCAGAAGCCATGTCCTTTGGAGTGTCCTGGCAGATGAGGCAGTTGCTGTAATTTTCTCTGGCCATTTTTGTGCTTGGCAGACTTTTGGGGAAAGCTGAGGTTCAGGAGCTGCTCCTTTCCATTGGCATCACTCTGCAGGAGAAGCTGGAGTCACTGACTGTCCCAGGGAGGGGAGCAAAGAATGGCCAGGCCCCTGAAGAAGAACACTCTCCCACCTCCCCAAGTCCCATCACCCACCCCATGACCACCCTGCAGGGATGTTTTCCTGCACAGCTCACTCTCAATGCTGTACCTGCAGTGCCCAGCTGCCCCAACCAGGCAGGGCAGGGAATCAGGAGTAATGGCTCTAGGATGGGCACTGAGAGCTGCTGATGGCAGACCCCAACACACCACCAGTGCTGGGAAAAGCCTGGTTTGACTCTGCAGATCCCAGAGTCTTCCTCAGCAGGAGTCAATGCCTGGGCCGGATCGGCGCAGTTACTCCTGGAGCCCAAATAAAATCAGCAATAGATGTGTTATCACAATCTGCCACTTGGGATGTCACCCTCCAGAGCCTGATGTCACAATGTGATGTTCCCCACTAGAGGTGCACAGTGCCAAGAAAGAAAAGAAAATAATTTCTTTTTTTGAACTTTTACATTTTTGTGTTGCTCTCCCTTGGTCACCCGTGTCATGCATCCATGGCTGTGTTTCTTGTTCCTGCCCTGACACATTGCCAAGGTGTCCCATGAGCAGGAATGTGGTGGGAGCAGTCAGCATGGACTGCCTGAGGCTGGATGATGTCTCCTTCCCTCACTGCCTTTCCCTGTGCAATGCCAGGATTTGGAGTACTTGCGTGGAGGTGGCCAGCCCTGGGTCAGAGGGAAGATCCCCTCCAGCTGTAGGCTGTCGCCCTGAAAACTCAGTTTTTCGATCTTGTTGACACAGTTTCTAAAGACTTTCCCAGGACAGTGACTGTAAACATAGATTTGCATACATTCTTTCTGATACACGTCTTTTGATGGACATCTCTCATGGCCAGTGTGATTGGGAAGGTGTTATCCTGAATATCCAATCCCTGGCCATGGTCAGAAACCTATAAATTCTGAGAGAAAAAATAGTTCTCTCCTTCCTTCACTATACCTCGAGCTGTGTCCATGCCACTCATTTCATGTCCAGCAGCAACAACAGGCATGTAGATCACTGTGCTCAGCTGTGAGAGGAAGCCCCTGCCAGGCCCCTCAGGCACACATGGTGTGAGGGAACACCTTCTTGTGATCCCCATGCTGACACCCTGGAGTGGTGCCCAGCATGCCAGGGATACTCCTTCTGGATGGGCAGAGCTCAGGATGATCCTCGGGCACTGGAACCAAGTGAAACAACAGAGAGCTGCCAGCAGAAGCCAGAGGTGATGTCCAGTTGGGTCTTCAATGTACCTGTGACAAGATAATTTGCTCCTTCTGCCGTTAGGGGTGATTCCAAGTGCTGCCCTCCCTGCGCCGGATTTGTGGGGCATGGGGACGGGTGCTGCGAGTGGTGCGGACGCCAGGCCATCTTCTGCTAGCCCTATGCTGCGGGTTTCCCCTCCTGCAAGCCCAGGTTGTTCCCTGGCAGCAGAGCGGGACAGTGCTGTGGCTCTGCGGGCTGTGCCTCTACCGGCGCCTCGGTCCCCGCCAGGGCTGGAGGCGGGCCGTGTCAAGCTGGCTCCAACCCACCCCGCCTCAGGTTCCCAGGCATTGCCCAAGCCTGCGGCTGGAGGTGGCCCTCCACCGTGGCCTCCTGCGGCCGTGGCAGACCAAGGTCCTGCACTGTTTACCACTGGCTCCGGTGGTGCTGCCGCAGGGGTGAAGCTGGTGGCCTCCACAGACAAAGGGTCCCAGGCTGCTGGAGCCTCTTCAGCTGGCCTGTGGACTTTGTTCTCTTGTCAGATGACTGTGCAGCTGAGCATATCAGGCATTCCATGTGCTTCCAAATGCTTTGGTCCGGTGGGTGAGGGCATGAGTGCTCTTCTGGTGGCGTGGTTGAATACCACTGCTCAGGGCATCATTGTTCACCTAGGGGACATTG